TGGTTTTCAAAGCATTTACAAATTAATTTTTAATCATACAGTATTTATGCCTTTAAAGTGCACTTTATAAAGAGTTTTGAGCAGATAAAAGACTTCTTTTTTTACTTTTTTCTGACCTCCGGAACGGATTAATTGGTTTTCAATGCATTCCTATCGGAAACCTCATTTAAGTCCCGCAGAACAAATTAAATTATTAAACCGAGGTACGCCTGTACCTGTCACAGATCAGCCCCTGATGCAGCCTCTCCCCTTGTCACTTACTACAAATTTACAATGTCACAGTCTCATCACTGGGGTGAGGGAAGGAGACTGAGGAAATGCTTCCTCCTGATGGCATCATCTTAGCCTAAGCAAATCCACTTGCTGAAACTGAATTTTTCTTTATTTTAAAGTGTTACTAAACCCACTATATCTGGTCTCCCCGGACCCTGCATTCACTATATCTGGTCTCCCAGGACCCTGCATTCACTATATCTGGTCTCCCAGGACTCTGCATTCACTATATCCGGTCTCCCAGGACCCTGCATTCACTATATCTGGTCTCCCAGGATCCTGCATTCACTATATCTGGTCTCCCAGGATCCGGTATTCACTATATCTGGTCTCCCCGGACCCTGCATTTACTATATCTGGTCTCCCAGCACCCTGCATTCACTATATCTGGTCTCCCAGCACCCTGCATTCATTATATCTGGTCTCCCAGGACCCTGCATTTACTATATCTGGTCTCCCCGGACCCTGCATTCACTATATCTGGTCTCCCAGCACCCTGCATTCACTATATCTGGTCTCCCAGGACCCTGCATTCACTATATCTGGTCTCCCAGGACCCTGCATTCACTAGATCTGGTCTCCCTGGCCCCTGCATTCACTATATCCGGTCTCCCAGGACCCTGCATTCACTATATCTGATCTCCCCGGACCCCGCATTCACTATATCTGGTCTCCCCCCGGACCCTGCATTCACTACATCTGGTCTCCCAGGACCCTGCATTCATTATATCTGGTCACTCAGGACCCCGCATTCACTATATCTGGTCTCCCAGGACCCTGCATTCACTATATCTGGTCTACCAGGACCCCGCATTCACTATATCTGGTCTCCCAGGACCCCGCATTCACTATATCTGGTCTCCCCGGACCCTGCATTCACTATATCTGGTCTCCCAGCACCCTGCATTCACTATATCTGGTCTCCCAGGACCCTGCATTCACTATATCTGGTCTCCTAGGACCCTGCATTCACTATATCTGGTCTCCCTGGCCCCTGCATTCACTATATCCGGTCTCCCAGGACCCTGCATTCACTATATCTGATCTCCCCGGACCCCGCATTCACTATATCTGGTCTCCCCGGACCCTGCATTCACTACATCTGGTCTCCCAGGACCCTGCATTCATTATATCTGGTCACTCAGGACCCTGCATTCACTATATCTGGTCTCCCAGGACCCTGCATTCATTATATCTGGTCACTCAGGACCCCGCATTCACTATATCTGGTCTCCCAGGACCCTGCATTCACTATATCTGGTCTACCAGGACCCCGCATTCACTATATCTGGTCTCCCCGGACCCTGCATTCACTATATCTGATCTCCCAGGACCCCGCATTCACTATATCTGGTCTACCAGGACCCCGCATTCACTATATCTGGTCTCCCTGGACCCTGCATTCACTATATCTGGTCTACCAGGACCCTGCATTCACTATATCTGGTCTCCCAGGACCCCGCATTCATTATATCTGGTCTACCAGGACCCCGCATTCACTATATCTGGTCTCCCAGGACCCTGCATTCACTATATCTGGTCTAACAGGACCCTGCATTCACTATATCTGGTCTCCCAGGACCCTGCATTCACTATATCTGGTCTACCAGGACCCTGCATTCACTATATCTGGTCTCCCAGGACCCTGCATTCACTATATCTGGTCTCCCACAGTACACACAACATGGAAATGCAATTATCAATCTCTCTACCCCTCAGCTCACTCCATCAGTCTCCTCATGCATCACTAATCTACTAACAGACATATCACCCTGGGTGTCACACCACTTCCTCAAAATTAATCTATCCAAAACTGAGCTCATATTTTCTCCCCCATGTGCCACTTCCACTGACTTTTCTGTCAAAATCAACTGCTCAACCCTCAACCTGTCCCCTAGGTGTAATCTTAAAGTCTCCTTTAGGCCTCACATCCAATCACTGTCCAAAGCTTGCTGCCTCAACCTCTGCAACATCTCCAAGATACGCCCCTTCCTAACCAATGACACCACAAAGCTCCTAATTCACTCCCTGGTCATCTCTCGCCTCAACTACTGCAACTCCCTCTTCACTGGCTTACCTTTACATAGACTATCCCCCCTCCAGTCCATAATGAATTCTGCTGCCAGGCTCATCCACCTTACTCAGTGTCTGCTACCCCTCTCTGGCAATCCCTCCACTGTCCCCTGCTCACCCAACAAATAAAATTCAAGATACTTACAACTTATAAAGCCATCCACAACTCTGCCCCCAGCTACATCACTAACCTGGTCTCAAAATATCAACCAAATTGTTCTCTTTGTTTCTCCCAAGAACTCCTACTCTCTAGCTCTCTTGTCACCTCCTCCCATGCTCGCCTCCAGGACTTCTCTAGAGCCGCTCCCATCCTATGGAACTCCCTTCCCCAATGTGTCCAGCTATCTCCATCTCTGTCCACTTTTAGACGATCCCTGAAAGTTCATCTCTTCAGGGAGGCCTATCCTGCCCCCACCTAACAACTGTACATGTATTTTGTCCATTAGCCCATCCCCCACAGTTATTACATGCTGTATCTCTTGACCCTCCCTCTTAGATTGTAAACTGTAACGTGCAGGGCCCTCTGAATCCTCCTGTAATAATTTGTATTGTAATTGTACTGTTTGCCCTTATGTTTTAAAGCGCTGCACAAACTATTGATGCTATATAAACCCTGTATAATAATAATAATAATAATTTTAGTAAATATAAACTGCTAAATACCTTTTCTCATAAGCAGTATATAGCAGTTTTGTGACTTCTATCAGTGTCCAGTTGAGCACTGGTTAATCTTGTAGGAGGAGTTTGCATTCTCCTCTGACTGTCTTATGTGGCTGTATGACCTCTGACCTCTGGACAGTGCTAATTGGCCCTGTGCCAATCACATGCACCCCCCCCCCCCCTTTTCTCATCAGCAGTATATAGCAGTTTTGTGACTTCTATCCGTGTCCAGTTGAGCACTGGTTAATCTTGTAGGAGGAGTTTTCATTCTCCTCTGATTGTCCTATGTGGCTGCATGACCTCTGACCTCTGGACAGTGCTAATTGGCCCTGTGCCAATCACATGCACCCCCCCAAAAAAACTCTCTAGAAATACACACTAAACTGAGCATGTGCAGAGTGCCTCCTAGGGCTCTGTACAATCAGCAGATGGATTGGGGACCTTTGAAGAAGAGGCAGATCAGAGAAGACAGGATCAATCAACCTTTTTACACAATGCGGAGGATTAACCCCTTAGGTTCCACAGTGAGTATAACAAGGATGCTATACCGCATATACAGACTGATTCTACTATTGTGGGTTTAGTGACACTTTAAAATGGTTGTAAAGGCTGAAGGTTTTATGCATGAAGGTAAAAAACCTTCTCTGTGCAGCAGCCCCCTGCCCCTCCCCCCCAATACTCACCTAAGCCCCTTCTCGATCCAGCGATGTGCACTGGAGTGTTTGGCTATCCCGGGACCCCCTCTCTCCATTGGCTGAGACAGCAGCAGGAGCCGTTGGCTGTCAATCACAACCAGTAAGCCAATGAGAAGAGAGTGGGGGCAGGGCCAAACCACGGCTCGGTGTGAATGGGGAGCGCCCATGCTCGGGTGCCTCCATAGCAAGTTGCTTGCTGTGGGGCCACCCAACAGGAGGGAGAGCCCAGGAGCGCCGGTGGGGAACCTGAGAAGATGATGGATCTACTGCACAGAGACGGTAAATATAGATTTTTTTTTAATATTGAAACCTTTAGAATTACTTTAAGAATAGAGGTACAGAAAAATGATACAATATAATGCTGTATATTGTTATGTATCCAGAATTTATTCACGCAGACTTGTAAAGTTACTTTGAATGGTTCTTAGATAAAAAAAGAAAGTCTTGGCTTTAGATACTCTTTAAAAGCAGAGGTGGAAATTTTCTGGAAAGGCACTGTAAAGTGTTCTGGCACAGATAGGACATCGTTATAGAAAACAGAGCTGCGAGTGGAGTTTTCCTTTAAATGTGACACAACAGTACCCAAGCAATAAAACCTAAAGTGTCTGGCAAAGGGTTTCCTTTCCATAAAGTTGTGCAGACGGAAAAACGTGCTTCGCCATTAGCATGTGATTTATAACGCAGAAGAAAGTATCACCTAGAGATGTTTAACAAACTAAGCCAGCTAGAATCCCTCCGACTTTGTTTCGGAACTCTGTTGTAGTCATTCTTCCCAACGCCCTGAGGGCTCCACCAGACAAGCATCCAAGATAATGGGGCTAAATCATGAATAATCAGCGTCGATTGGGCATCGCAAATTATAATGGGAAACATGTTTTAGATGGAGGGAACAGTTTAAATACATCCAAATGTCCTTTTTCTTTTTTTATCTGAAATCTCCAGCATAGATATTTCAGATGTATCAGGACTCACGGCCATTGGAAGGCTAGGTATTTAGACTTAGGGGGTAATCTGAGTCCAGTGGTCTGTAGTACTATCTGCAGTTCTGTATTAGGGAGGATCTTGGTGTTCAGTCCAAACCCAAATTCAGCCTGAACACTGGCTATTCGGACATTTATCCCAATACCGAACATTTAGGGCATTCAGATGAATGCGACAGTTTCTGGCCGTCAAAGGTTGACAAGGGTAGCGCTACCCTTTTGAGAGCCGCAAGTTTTGGGTCCCCCTTTACTTCCTGCACAGCCAGGCAACACACATTTTTCACATTTTTGCACCCAGAAACAGGGGCGGACTGACAACTCATGGGGCCCCTGGGCAATAGGGGATCATGGGGCCCCTGTGTCCTTGCCCAAACTCAAAAAAGCCTATGAAAAAGGTACCAGGGGCATCTCATGGGGCCCTCTACTGACCCCGGGCCCTCGGGCAGTGGCCGAGTTTCCAGTTGGTCAGTCCGCCCCTGCCCAGAAACATCCATGAAATTTTTATTTTGTTTTATCAGGGAATGTAACTTGGATAAGGTGTAGGGTTATGGGATTGATTGCAGAATGACAGTTTGAGGACAACCTCCTTCTCTAGAAAAATGCTACAACAATGGCAGATGGATGACTGTAGTTCAACCAAAACCCTGACTGTCTCTTAGACAGTTAGGGTTCTGGCTGAACCACAGTCTTCCATCTGCCATTGTTCTAGCACAGTGGTTCTTAACCTGGGTTCGATCGAACCCCAGGGGTTCGGTGAGTCAGTCTCACGGGTTCGGCGGAGGTGAAGACCCACACCTGACTCATATGATTCGTGCAGTAAATATTCATTATTATGTTTTTGTTTTTGTGTGAAAATCATGTTTTAATGGTTTTGTTCTTTGTTCTTAATGGTTTTGTTCATTTTGTGCACCTATGTATAAATATATACCTAAATATATACCTATGTTTTGAATTTTAAAAATCATATTTATATTTTTCCAATTAAGAAGGGTTCGGTGAATGCGCATATGAAACTGGTGAGGTTCAGTACCTCCAACAAGGTTAAGAACCACTGTTCTAGCATTTTCTAGAGAAGGAGGTTGTCCTCAAACTGTCATTCTGCAATCAGATTGAGCATCCCATAACCCCTATACCTTATCCAAGTTAAATTCCCTAATAAAACAGAAAAAAAAACAAGTCCATGGATGTTTCTGGATGCAAAAATGTGAAAAGTACAGCAACTTGCAGAAGCTCTGAATCCCCTTGAATGTATTTTTAGCAAAATCTCAACTTGTAGGAGCTCTGAATCCCCTTGAATGGATTTTTAGCAAAGTTTCAACTTGTAGGAGCTCTAAGTCCCCTAAGTGTTCAAAATACCAGCCCACCTGACTATGGTATCTGATCCCAGGACACGGGAGTTAGCTATGAACCAGGGGCGGACTCACAACTCATGGGGCCCACGGGCAATAGGGGATCATGGGGCCCCCGTGTCCTTGCCCAAACTCAAAAAAGCCTATGAAAAAGGTACCAGGGGCATCTCATGGGGCCCCCTACTGACCCCAGGCCCCCCGGCAGTGCCCGAGTTTCCAAATGGTCAGTCCACCCCTGCCTTGAACTGACCCCTGAAGACTTGCCTGAACTTACATCCAGCAGACGTCTCCCTTCTAGGCCCTGGGCGTGTAGAGGTACTCACACTGTCCTTGTCCTACAGCTATGGATAGAACTGCTTTCAGGCCTCTGTAGTTGGGCTGTTCCTCTCCAAGCTATGCAGGCTGTCCTTCCCCGGAGGACTGCAGGGTAATAAAGCTGCCTCTTGCAGTCTTCCTCCTGCAGCCTCCAGTCCCCCCTTCTCCGGGACCCCCTCCCAAGTTACACATCAGCAGCTCTCATCGTTCCATCTTCCACCCGACTCCCCTGCTGGCCAGGCTCTACCATATTTATGACAATGAATAAAAATAATTTCCTGCACTCAGCCAATACAAACACTAACTATGGGACTACAATAGTAAATACCCGTGAACAGCCCACCAAAAATTAAGACGACCTGCTGCAACCAAAAATCCGGAATACTGAATCCACTTACTAAATAATCAAAAAAGTGCAAGGTCCCTTTAAGGTTGTGTGAAATTTATACAAATCAGCACACGCAACTATAAGTGATAATCTGAGTTAACAGAAATTATGACATTTGCAGCCTTTACATTCAGTTCAGAAAGGTAATGTGATCCATGTGAAACCCATGTGGAAAAAATGCGCTAAGTGCTGATAAACTTCCACTCCAAAAAAAGTGCTCCAGTGCTCCAAAAGTGCTACTCAGAGGGGAAAAAATTGGCCTCTTACCGGATGAATACGATCTCAAATGATACAGATCAAACAGCGGTCAAACAGGACCTAGGGATGGCACTATCACTAGCATGCTCTTGAACAGCGCGATCTCATCAATGGAGTAAATTGATCCGGATATCACTCATTAAGCAGGCATGAGCAAAGTGCAAAAAGGGAGGAACTTCACAGTGCAGTAAGTATTAAAATATTTTTATTTAAATTTTAAAAGTATTGCACTTACAAACAAGCAGGAATAAACAGCTTGTTTGTAAAACAAACAAAACAAACAAAACGCAAAACAAAGCGGCCACAGCAGGGGTGGACTGACAACTCATGGGGCCCCCGGGCAATAGGGGATCTTGGGGTCCCCTGTGTCCTTGCCCAAACTCAAAAAAGCCTATGAAAAAGGTACCAGGGGCATCTTATGGGGCCCCCTACTGACCCCGGGCCCTCAGGCAGTGCCCGAGTTTCCAAATGGTCAGTCCGCCCCTGGGCCACGGTGTTAGTGGTATAGTTTTCATTGCTGTTTGTGCCCCAGTTAAGGAGATTCACCCTCTCTATGTATCATGTTCATTCACCAAGAGTGAAAGTGAAATAAAATCCCAAACTTTGGGTTTTCATCATAACAGGAATAGGGGGTAAATCTTCCAATGAAAACACAAGCTCTGGGAGGGAAGGAGGGATTTCCTCTCACTTCCTGTTTTAGCTTTTGTACAGGCAGTGAAGGGAAATCTCCCCAATGGGATGCAGATGGCAAAAAAAAAAAACGACATTGACTAGGGTTGAACCCCTCCCTTTCTCTATCCAAAATGAAGAAAATAGTTGTTCTTTTACTTCCACTTTAACAGGTGCATATTTCGGCCTTCTTCTGTTGAGTGCAATGCCTGCACTGTTGGGCAGGAGATCACTTTGTCTGTACAAGGAGAGTTCCTACATCCTGTAATGGTACATGGCCTGAATCATTGGGACCCTGGGGTTTCGCTCTAAGAACAGTCCAACAGGATCTGGGATAGTTGATGGGTCTGGTCTACTTCGGTACAAAACATCCACCAAAAGACTGTAAGGGCTTGGATACTTGGCCAGAGCTACCATAAGGAAGCTTAGAAAGAGGTCAAAAGCAGATCAGAAGGACTCTGAAGCACCATTGAAGGATCTTAAAAGTGTCTTGAACTGATCTTAAAGGAAACTGAAAGAACACTATATCAGTTTATTACACAAGTCCTAAGAGATCTCAAAACACTGGAAAGCACTCCAGAAAGTTTCACGTGCAATAAACTCAGTTATGACTGGGACATAAGAAAACAATGAGACTTATATAAGGTCATGAGGAGCTGATCTCAAGACTTGGGCTGAACTCTCAGGAACCTCTGTGAATAGTTGTGTTTTTATTAGTGTTCTTAGGCAAGGAACCAGTCCTTCCATTAGTTAATATATAAAGCAGAAAGTTTGGAGTTTACGTTATACCCTTTATTGGCTAAATTACGTTGTTAAAGATGCAAGCTTTTGGGATCCCTTAGATCCGTTCTTCAATCTCTATACAATTCTGATAATGGTTCCGAAATTATTAGTCAAAAAGTCTGCCAATGAAGGAAAAGTTATCTGGAATACTCATAGTCTGACCTTTCCAGAGGTTTAAGGCTTCACACTTATGTAGCATGACACTGAGTGTTGCATTTTTTTTGCCTCATTGTTCGGTTGATTTACTAAAATTGCACAGCTGACCCCGCTCTGTCATTTTACGTGGCCTACCACTTGGTGGCTGAGTTGCTGTTGTTCCCAGTTGCTTCCACTTTGTTATAATACCACTAACAGTTGACCGTGGAAAATTTAGTAGCAAAGAAATTTCCACATTTGCACAGGTGGCAGCCTATCATGGTACCACGCTTGAATTCACTGAGCTCCTGAGAGCGATCCATTCTTTCACAAATGTTTGTAGAAGCAGTCTGCATGCCTAGGGGCTTGATTGTATACACCTGTGGCCATGGAGGTGATTGGAACACCTGAATCCAATGATTTGGAGGGCTGGCCCAATACTTTTGGCAATATGGTGTATATATATATATATATATATATATATATATATATAGTGTGTATATATATATAAAATATTATATACATTATACTATTATTGTTAATATCATTATTGTTAATAATATTTTATCAAGGCCAATTATGCTATTATCTTTAATGTTATACATTTTTATATTAAATTATATTATTATTAGTATAATTATTATACTGTTATTATCATTCTAGCATCATTCTCATTTTATTCTTATTATTACGCCCTTACAGATTTTTTGTATTAAAATTATGGGTCACATTGATTGCATAAATATATTTCTTTTTTAATGTTACAATTTATTGGGCCAAGCACATTCTTTGAAAAGGATTGGTATTATAAACAATTATTTTTTGTATTGTCTTGAAAATTTGTAAACTTGCATCTGGACAGTGTGGTGCTTCAATTCTAGACTCAATCATTTAAAATTAAAATTAATAATTTAAAATTAATCCTTTGGTTCTGATGGGCGATGCAGTAAGCAGAGGACAGGAGGAAGTTGTGGAGCACAGATTTAAGACGTAGGCACACCCAGCACACATGCGAGAAGCTCTCTCTTGGCAGTGGGTGATCACACAAAAGGCTGAGATTATAGTCAAATGTTTGCTGAAAAGTTTTTGGCAGTTCACTGATAGTTTTCACTTGTTACCTGGAGATTGTTGTTTACACGGGAAACAGAACATGACTTATGAGGAACAGTTATTTGTAGTACAGAGCCCATTGGTGGTCTGTGTTTAATCATTTCTTGGCAAATTGTCTGCCCTGGAATAATGATATCTTCTTAATGCCTGATAATTTACTGCCTGCTTTAGCTGCTGCCAGCTGACATTGAAAACTTTTGGAAGGTTTTGGTCAACAAATGTTTCCTGCCTCTTATGTGTTCGTACACAAAATGTTTACCGCTTGATTTGATCTTTTCAAAAGACTTTGGATATTTTCCTGCTAGTGGTAACATGAACTTCTAATAATGTATATCTAGTTTTTCAGTTTCACCTGCCTGCTTGGTTTGACCTGTAGCCAGGAACCGTGCTACTGTCATTGATTATCTGCAGCCCGGTGTCACAAACATGGCAGGGGAAGCTAATGGAATTATGATGGCATCTCTTACACCTCTAGCCCAGGGTACCTGATTAAGCAGATAGATAGTGCAAAGCAAGGAATGGCATGAGTGCCTCGCTGGTCTGCTGGATGATGATACAGATGAATGGGAGCCATAGGTTCATGATGTGTTGAATACCCTTGGAAGATGACAGCTAGAGAACCTGTTACTGGATCAGCAGATCTGATAGCTGAGTACAAGATCAACGGATTGCTGAGCAGGTGTGCAGAAGTGGATCTTCAGGCAGGTAAGCAGAAGAGATGCAAGAGCTCAGGTCAGGTTCAGAATCCCCTGTTTGTGGGGAGCTTTTCCTCTTTCACTCCCTACTGAGGCTGTGCTGACCTGGTTCCACTTACTTTTGCCTGCTTTTTTGTTTTTTTTACTGCAGCTGCACCAGTCCATTTATAGTTATTTATATGCTCAAAGTGAGAGTCAGCATCTATGACCAGGGGCGGACTGACCATTTGGAAACTCGGGCACTGCCCGAGGGCCCGGGGTCAGTAGGGGGCCCCATGCAATGCCCCTGGTACCTTTTTCATAGGCTTTTTTGAGTTTGAGCAAGGATACAGGGGCCCCATGATCCCTTATTGCCCGGGGGCCCCATGAGTTGTCAGTCCGCCCCTGTCTATGACCCTGGAAAAAGTTCCCTTGAGACAAAACGCTTAGGGCGGAGCACATGACACTAATATCACCATGTCCTAATTCAAAAACTTGTGGTGGCAGTTTTATGTGTTTTTAGCACTACTTTGTTTTTATGTATAAATAAATCTCTTGGATTATCTGCACCATTTGGAGCTTTCTGGAGAGCAGCGGAAATATTGAATGTTGTAATCAAGTGTAGCACCCTCCTATTTTAGCCAGGGGGAGGTAGACTCCAATGGTTAGTCAGGAGTTGAGTAGCAGCTCAGGTACAATAGCAATTGTAAACAGGGCTGAGAGGATCTGCAGCCCAGCCCCTCTGGAATTTTCCCCTGCTCTGAGGCTTTCGGAGGAAGGCCTTAAAGGCAGTGGTTGGATCCTAGGACCTCAGCCAATCTCCAACACAAGGCTTGGCAAGGGGCTGGGACCCCCTTAAACGTGTTGGAGCTTGCTCAGTATCAGGAGTGTGGAGTGGGGAGAGAGTCGAGAGGATAATGTAAAGCTGTGAGGAAGGAGGCTGCCAGGAGGCCTAGTGGGATGGGGCCT